ATAGAACTAGTGATAACAAGGCGCTCTGATTGTTTTTGTTGTAGAATACGATAGGGGATATATTCACACGTTATAGAAACGAAAATGATGGTGTATAAAATTGATTTTAAGATAAAAAATTAGATGACAAAGAATTAACTTGACGGAGCTCAAACTCAAAACACGCGGCAGCAACAAACAGGAAGTGATGGGTACAAAAATCTGTACCCGACACGAATTGACCCGGATCACTTCTTACCCGAACCCGACGTGCATAAATTATATTGATTTATATTGATCTGAAATCAATATTTAAGCAAGTACATAACCAGCCAGTGTTTAAAACTATCGCCTTACTTAGCCCGATTCACAACGGTTAGTTTGTAATAATGTTTTCTAATTTGAGTGGTACGGGTAGATTTTTGCAGGAAATTCGAGCATGGCACTGCGTCATTACGTCATGTCTGTAAACATAAAGAAGTTGTCCCGGCTACTAGGCTATCGCATGTGAGGATGCTGCAGGTGGCGGATCGTTTATAGCCTTTTCTCACAGCAGCTAGAATAATTAAATGGATCATTTTGATGGCGGATTGTAATCCAGAAAGGACTATGTGTTTATGAAACAAATGTGAATGAAATTAAATGGTATTCCAGTTTTAAATATGCTTCTGATTACAGATAGACTGTGATTACACAAGATTTGTATTTTAAAGACAACCAGTTCGAAGGGAGCATAATTAGCTTTTTGGGTTAAAAGAATTTCTTAATATGAAATTCGAGTGTTATGACAATTACAGATTAGACTGTACAGAAATCTGCACGCTAATACACACTATATACGCAATGCTAATATTGTTAACATTAATAATTTGAGAATAAAGTATAACAATAATAATAATTTGCACGGTTTTATGTGATACAAGCTAATTTATATTAAAATCACCATTGGTAGCGCGATTTATTGTAATGCTTTTTTCCTCAGTTGGTCAGAACAAACGTGGCAGACTTGTTACTTGTTCAGATGGCAATATCTGGTGAAAATTCTTAGTTGGGTCATAGATTCGATGACGTAGGCTAGAATCTGTGATTGCGAAGTACAGTAAATATCCACACCGGTGCGGTGACTGACTGCCACACACCTCAAAACATTAGATTCATCCATGCTGGAGTCAAGCCGCCGCACAACCCACGTAAGGAAGATAATTCCGCAGACAGCTGCAATTGCAGGTTTTCAAACAGAGATGGCAACACAGAGGCAAAACTTATGGACTGGAGCTTTAACATTTATTAAATTTATTATTAGGCTACTTTATATTAGTGCCTCCCTGATGGATACAAGTTATTTCTGAGCTCGGCTTTCAATTGTGACCAGTGGATTTGAAAAATAAATGTGATAGTTTGATAAAAAAAAATCGCTAGCTTTATTTTCTATGTGTGTTCCTCACTTAACATGAAAGGGAAAGTAGCCTATGCATTCGGGATAGTTTAAAAGAATAAATTGGAAAAAGCATGTTTATTTTAAATTACCCGAGACCCGAGGCCACTAATACCGAACCTGACCCGTATCCAAGGTACTCTTCGAAGTTTTGGACCCGATCCCGCTCGGGTCTCAGGTTGGACCTCGGGTTTTCGGATCCAAGTGGACCTGTGAAGACCTCTAGTGTGTGCCACACCTATCACAACTGCCTAATGCACTGCTAACCATGGACTGTCCAAAGGACACAAAACTACTTAATTCCAGTTTTTCACATTTGCTAAGACACTAAATCCCATTCTCTGAACCAAATTATCAATAGCCTAAACCAATTTGTCAAATAAATCACTCTTTCTGCGAAACCTTAAACAAGTTTAGGCAGTTTACACTGTTTGCAGACTCATGCACTCTTTTTGCAAAACTTTAAACACATTCTCACTCACTAAAACGCAATTTGCACTGCGATTAAATTGTGACGCAAAACCCTAAACAAAAGTAAGCAAAAGTTAAGCACAACTGCAACACGGTTGTCATCATTTGCACACAAAAATTCAAAACTGTTCACACTTGTTTCTAAATATGTGAATGTACAAAATATAAGCCAGTTCAAAGTGCACAGATGGCATGGGTGCATCCATCAATCTGAGAGGTATGAAACAGTGCGTTATATGAGGTGGAGGAAGAGGAGGTCGAGGAAGAGCAAGACCAAGAACAGTCATTTCAGATGAAACCAGAGCTACTGTGATAGACCATGTTCTTGTGTGTGGAATGACAGAGGCAGGACAAAGAGTTCAGATTCTCTGTGGCCATCGTAATCAGTTGGAAAGTTTAAAAGAACAGCAAAAGAAGAGCGGAAGAGAATCTTGTGTAAAATTACAAGACTACTACTTTAGGGTGGAAGAACTGGCCTGTGGTGACAGAAACAAGCTGTCTTTTCAAGGCTGGATCCGCCACACGGAGTTTTTTTTCCCCTTATAGTTGTGCCGCCTCTACTACCAAGACTCCTAAAAAAACCTTTTCATTCCGCATCGCCCCATCAAGCTCTCGCTGGACCCGCTCCTCTGCTATCAACGAGAGGAACGTCTGTACTTCCGCAACAGAAATCTTTTTGGTTGTTTAAAAAAAGGTGTACCTTACCGTTACCAAAACGTGACGTGTAAACTCTGCTGATCACAGATTGGCCAGAGAGAATCGTCACTACCTGATACACTGAACTTGCGACACAAACACAACAGAACCGCTAGATTTAAATCAGCACAGCCAGCGAAGGATTGAACGCAACGGTTTTGAACGAGCGCACCGTTTTTAACAACCAAAAAGTGGCTGTTTCGTTGTCTGTTGAGGAAGTACAGACGTTCCTCTCGTCGATAGCAGAGGAGCGGATCCAGCGAGAGCTTGATGGGGCGACGCGGAATGAAAAAGTTTTTCAGTGGAACCCAGTAGAGGTGGCGCAACTATAATGACATATGAATAATCCCGCCCACTCTAAAGTGGTACTGAACTGCAGTGAAGACGCGAGCCGTGCCGTGCCGTGTTGTGCCGTGCCTTACTGAGCCGTGCCGAGCCGAGTCGTTCCACGCAGAAATCTTTTTGGTTGTTTAAAAAAAGGTGTACCTTACCGTTACCAAAACGTGACGTGTAAACTCTGCTGATCACAGATTGGCCAGAGAGAATCGTCACTACCTGATACACTGAACTTGCGACACAAACACAACAGAACCGCTAGATTTAAATCAGCACAGCCAGCGAAGGATTGAACGCAACGGTTTTGAACGAGCGCACCGTTTTTAACAACCAAAAAGTGGCTGTTTCGTTGTCTGTTGAGGAAGTACAGACGTTCCTCTCGTCGATAGCAGAGGAGCGGATCCAGCGAGAGCTTGATGGGGCGACGCGGAATGAAAAAGTTTTTCAGTGGAACCCAGTAGAGGTGGCGCAACTATAATGACATATGAATAATCCCGCCCACTCTAAAGCGGTACTGAACTGCAGTGAAGACGCGAGCCGTGCCGTGCCGTGCTGTGCCGTGCCTTACTGAGCCGTGCCGAGCCGAGTCGTTCCACACAGTGGAAAAGCGCCATTTGGAACCCCAACCGAGGTGGTACTAAAAAGAAGTACCAGGTACTGTACCCAGTGGAAAACTCCCAAAAAGTGAACCGTACCATGCCGTACCATGCAGTGGAATTTTTTTTTTAATTGTTCACACTTGTTTCTAATGATGTGATCAAACCAACTGTACAAAATATGAGCTAGTTCAGAGTGCACAAGTGGCACAGGTGACTGAATGATGATACGAACAATAGATGGAAACAACATGAGAAGGAGAGGAGGAAGAGTACATGTAAGAAGTGGAGGATGAGGAGGAAGAGGATGAGGAGAGAAAGAGTAAGGTTTAGAGAGTGTTATCAAGGCTGGATCTGTCAGACCAGAGTTTTTTTATTTTTGTCTAGCAAAAAAAGACAACTACTTGTGATGTGGACAAAGTCCTCAGGCTGGACTCAAGCACAAAAACATTATGCTGAGACAGAATGAATCTCTCATTGACCCTGATTTTACAATTGCACAACTTACAGTATTTGAGTGTACTGTAACATGCTATTCATTTAGAGTTTTATTTGTCCTTTTTGGCCTTTGCAGTTGGACTGCAGTATTTTTGCCATACCCACGTGCTGAATATATACAAACATTCAGTACTATTCAGTATTCAGCACAATACTATTCTTACAATACATACAGTATGTCTATACAATATATTCTCCTTAGTTGCAATTACTACACTTTTTTACAGTTTTTAAAGTTGTTTACTCAATACAATATACTTTTTTTGTAATGCTCTGGATGCTGTGTTCTTCATTTTCATCTGTAGTGTCTAATGAATGCTCTGTAGTGTTTATTTTATTGACTCGTGTGTGTGATCTGAGAGCACCTGTTGATTTTGAGTGCAAGTGAAATGTGTTTTGCAGTGGTTGTTTGATTTTGATGGAAGAGTCAGAGGTTTCGTGAATTTAGTTTGAGTATTTGGATTTGTGTTTAAGGTTTTGAGAAAATAAGTGATGGTTTCAAGAAATGCGTTTTAGCAGTTCAGAAAAACTGTATTGCAAAATATTTACTATATACAATAAAAAAAAAAAATTTTGTAACTACATGCACTGGACACTGTTCTCCATTTTTTTATGTAGTGTCTAATTAATGATCTGTGTATGTTATTGACTAATGTGTCTATGATTTGAAAGATTTGTTTGATTTTGAGTAAAGATGAAATGGTTTTGAAGCGATTGTTTGATTTTTTCTGAAGAGTCAGGGGTTCTGTGAATTTAGTGTGAAGGTTTGGATTTGTGTTTAAGGTTTTGAGAAAATTAGTGATGGTTTCATGAAATGTGTTTTAGCAATTAAAAAAACTGTAATGAATCCTTGAGTATCATGGGGACACCTAGTGACCAAATTCCAGTACTGCAATAATACAAATTTGGAACACAGTGTGAATAGCCACCTATAGTTGTTCATCATGAGATTAAGTCACTGAAATATCTGTAATTTCTCCCTCTTCTAGTTGAAATAAAAGGAAAAGGTCACAGTTCTGAGTACAAACGGGAGCACAAGGAGAGGAGCCATCACAGCAAAGAATCCAAGCGGGACAAAGACCGCAGCAGCAATGGAAAGTCCTTGCATCGGCGTGACAGCAAAGACAGAGAACCAAATGGCATTGAAGCCTTATTTCGACATGACAGCAAAGACTGTGGATACAGTAACACTGAGCCATTAACCAGAAGTGACAACAAGGACAGGGGATATAACTGCCCAGAGCTGCTTCCCCGACAAGAGAGCAAAGATAGAGGCAGTAGCAGTGAGGCACTGCCTCAACGAGATAGCAAAGACAGGGGCTGCAATAATGCAGAACCTTTTGCCAGACATGACAGTAAAGACAGAGGTTGTGTTGGTCCAGAGCACTTGCCCAGAGACTGTAAAGATCTGTTGAGAAATGGTCCTGACAGCAGACGTAACAGCCGAGAGAATGTTTGCTATGGGATAGACCTTCTTTCCAGACATGAAAATAAAGATCTGGGTAGAACAGGTTTGGAACGTCAACGGGATAAAGATGGTGGCAAGCATGTCATAGAATCTGGTAAGGACAAGGAGAAAAGCAACCACAGTGCAGAGAGCAGGAGGGGAAGCAAGGAAAGGATCACCAATGGCAATGATGTCATGAGCAGATGGGACTGCAAAGATAGGGGAGTACACACAAATGAGACTTTACCCCGGTATAATGAGAAAGATAAAAGCAATTATAGCACAGAATCACCCAAAGCACAGGACAAAGATGCAAGGCCTGGATCTTCAGCCATGGCATCATCCACTCGGTCTGGACGATCCTCCATGATTCCAAATATAATGTTGGGGAATTCAAACTCTGGTAAGAATTAAATTTGTTTTACAGCCCAGCTAAAGCACAACTAGTTAACTGGCAATAGACCAGCCCATTCAGGCTGGAAAGCTAGCTTTGGCTGGTTTAAGTTTTTTTTTTTCTTCAGCAGAGTAAAAACACAACGCTGGTTGATCAGCTTCACCATGAATTTGCTAGACCAGCAATAACCAGCAAAAATCAGTCTGATCTATTCTGGAAGAGCACAGAAATTCATGCCAGTCAAGACTGGTCTTTTCAAGTCTTTTCAACTGATTTTTCTTTTTCATCTGTAGGAAATTTCCTTGCAGAACTGAAGACGCTTCCAAAGGTAGGACGGTCTTCTTCCACAACAGTAGCACCATCTCCAAAAGGCACACCTCAGAGACAGTCAGCTGATGTCCAACAGGTACCGTCTTTATCACTGTACAGTACTTATTTGTGCAGCTGTAAAATAACATAGAGTTGACAACCTATGTTCTCTATATGCATCCAATAGATGCCCCCTATGCCATGGTTGTATAGTGACAGCAACATGGTGGAGATGATCGAGAGGAAACAACGCCTCTGCCGGGAGATACGGTCTCGAGAACGTCTTCCTGACCGTAGCCCATGCAAGAAAGAAAGCCTGCCTACAATGCCAAGCTGGAAAAAAACTAGCGGGGCAAAGAAGCACAGTCCACCCCCCTACCCTACTCAGACTACAGTCTTCTGGGACACGGCCATTTGACTTTGTGGTCTTGTGAGCATATTAGGGTCATGCTCTGTCGTTAATTATCAGGCAGGTTTGAACCCACCAAAAGGATGAGTGGTGTTACCGTAGCAATATTTCAGAGGTTGCAGTTTATGAGGTTTTCATATTATTGTTGATATCTAATATTTTTATACGCAGTGTGATTCCTTAATGACTTAGCATCAATAGATATTTTCTAAATTAAATACATTATCTTTGCAAAGATTATGTAGAGTGTTGCTACCATGCTTTTCTTTTATAGCTTTTTTTTTTTTTTACTTCGCAATACACAATCAGTACCTTTTCATCAAGCTTTGACTTGCCTTTCTATTTTAAGAACTCTGGAAATTAAGTTTCTGTGGTATTTTACCACACTGAATGAAGTATATTTTAGCACTGGACATTATGGTGATTGGATTCGGGCTAGCCTTTCCACACATTATTAGATAATTTATTTTAATGTCTAATATTAAGAAATAAACAGATCAAACATTTCTCAAAAATCCATCAGAAAGGGTTCATTGTTTTTAACCACATTCTCATTTGCTTTGCCTTTAAATTCTCTAGTCATTTAAAGTGAGTGGTAGGTTTCAGAAAGTATGACTCTGATTTAAGGTCAGGTCATTGCACATAGAAAAAGGGTTAAAGTTTTTCTGTGTAATACAGAAAATGTCTCCTTTATGGGATGTTGTAACAGCTCTTTGTGTACATGACATGTACAGGTGTAAAACCCGAGGGACAGCCCTCTCCTCTTTGGGTCTGTGGCAATAGCTGGCGGGTGCCATTGAGAATTCTCCAAAGTGCAAAGATGGTCACCCAGAGATTAATGACAATCTGGAATATCAACGTTTTTTTTTTTCATCTCAGCATTTTTTAAGGATTGTGTACATGGACTGATAATTGTAAAATGAGATGATTTTTGTGTAATTGTCTTGTGTAGAATGACAGTGCCATAATTTATCATCAGTTAATGGAGTAGATTTGGGTGCCATTGAGAATTCTCCAAAGTGCAAAGATGGTCACCCAGAGATTAATGACAATCTGGAATATCAACGTTTTTTTTTTCATCTCAGCATTTTTTAAGGATTGTGTACATGGACTGATAATTGTAAAATGAGATGATTTTTGTGTAATTGTCTTGTGTAGAATGACAGTGCCATAATTTATCATCAGTTAATGGAGTAGATTTGGATTTGGAATTGGAAATTTCAGACAGACTAATATCTGTATTAGCAAAATAAACCAATGACCAATAGCTCAGCTATTGTAAGAATATAGTACCTATGGCCTCAATGCCTGGTAACAGGGATTATGGCTGCATAAACAAACAGACTGTACACAAGAGAGCTGCAATTCCACAATCCTCACTCACATATTACCTGACTGGATACCCACCATTGTCCCTCTGCCTCTACCTCAACCTCTCAAATCAGTTCAAGTGGTCATTCATTTGCACAACCAATGCACCATCTGCATTGCCAAAGTACTTGGATGTTGTAGTAAAATTCCCTCACCTCCCCTTCCCTCATTCCTTCCTTTGACCTCCATGTTTGAAACTGTTGCCTGTACAAAATGTGTTGCCTTGGAGACCGGTACTCACTGTAACTGGGTCACACTGTACAGTGTCGTAAAGACTGTAGACTTTAATTTCTGTAGTCATTTAAAGTGAGTGGTATGTTTCAGAAAGTATGACTCTGATTTAAGGTCAGGTCATTGCCCTGAGAGAGGAATAGAGCATTGGTTGCTGGTTTACAAGCATTTTGGAGAAATAAAACCATAAAAGTCTGAAATAGTGTTTTAGATACTGTATGAAACAGATTGTCCATTTATAACTCATATGGTTGTCTGAGCTAATCATAGGTTGGATAACAAGGGGAATAAATAACCAAGGCAGCACTTGGTATAGTCTCAAAAACATGGAGGTTACAAGATGTATGTGTGGCAATATGCAGATCATCAATAAACTTTGAAATTCACTCTCTTGTGGCTAGAGGGTGCATTATGGAAATGTAACAATGAACAATCTTCTTTGTATTTAAAATGTGCACTGTGACAGGCAAAAAGCCTATGTCCTTTGTCTTACTGCACTGAGTGTTCGCTTCTCTGTACAGTGCCATTGGAAAAAGTATGCTGATTGTCACAAGAGACTTTTCAAGATGAATAAACAAATATAAACTTTTTTATGTGATGTGCTTTGTCTCTTTTCTTGCATTAGCAAATCTTAAATGATGCCTCTCAACTGTTCAAATAGCTTTCATGTTTGAGGCTACAGTTTCAGTAAACTGGTGTTTAGTTAACATTATTTGTAAACACATTTTTTTGTCTCAAAAATATACAGGGCTCCTTCAGAAAGGAGGTTATGTAAAAACTCTATGTTAACCCTGAAATGAGAGAAACTCTGGGTTTTCCGTTTCAGAATAGGAGGTTTGTCAAACCCAAAAAAAGCAGGGTAAGTCAAGCCCATTTCTGAAAGAAAGGTAACTCATACTCAGAGTCAGTTACCATGGTAATTTACTCTATGAACCTAACCTGGTCGGGAGGAAGTTTTCTTCGGTAAACCCAGAGTTTCTTACGGTCTCCTCCCCCTTTTTAAAGTGTAAGCGATGTTTAAATACCTCATTCATTCATTCACGCTGCAAAAATACTTTTCTTACTGAGTATTTCTGTCTTATTTCAAGTACAAATATCTAAAAATTCTTAAATCACGATGCATTTTCAATATAAGAAAAATTATATAGCTATATATGTTTTAAGCTATATATGATATATGTTTATTCTTGTTTCCTGGGGGAAAACAGGTGCATTTAAGTGCATTTTACTTAAAACAAGTAGAATTATCCACCATGGGGTAAGAAAAATAATTTTAATGCAAACGTAAACAAGGTCCCCCCCCCCAGGCAAACACCAGACACCGTGACAAAAATAGCATGTCCTTTTATACTGTAGATGAGGAGGCTGTATGAATTCGTAGGGAGTTACTTTTTTGTGCTATATCCACATGCATATTTATTTGGTAGTTTTCTATATCGGGGATGCAGAGCACATTAGTAAGGCAGTATGCAGAGCGGTAACGAAGGTGTACCTCACTGACGTTCACTTGATAACATCTTGTGGTGACCTCTGGAAGTAACCCAATAATTAGAATTTCCTTTAGAATTTCCAGTGTGCTTGGATGCATTGATGACACACATATTCCATCATCGCACCTTCCGAAAATGAAATAGATATGGAATGGAAGGATGCCATATGGAAGTGTAGTTCGAGATATATGCTGTAACCACCACCACAGCTGTTACATAAACACAAATTATGCACAATTTATTTGGTCATCTTTATTTCCTACTAATACAAAAGCAAGAGTTATTCTTTTTTCTGTTGGATTTTAGTATTCTTCCAATACTTGGTATTATGGCCATCTCCTCTTCATCTGTTCTTCATTATTTGCGAGCCTTCTTGCTGTTGACTGAGTTGAAGTCAAATGTTAATTTCATTACTCTAATTAAGAAATGTAACAGGTTGGATTAGAGAATCTTTAATTATGTGAAAAGATTAGACTACGTGAAAATATTAGAGTATGTGGAAAAAAAGCTGCTGCACATTGAAATAGACACTGAATGTATATTAGTATACACATTTATATACATTAATATATAAAATGTTTGTAAAGTCATGTAGCCTACACCCATGAAGTTCAAGTTTAAACCCAGAGTTTCTTACGGTCTCCTCCCCCTTTTTAAAGTGTAAGCGATGTTTAAATACCTCATTCATTCATTCACGCTGCAAAAATACTTTTCTTACTGAGTATTTCTGTCTTATTTCAAGTACAAATATCTAAAAATTCTTAAATCACGATGCATTTTCAATATAAGAAAAATTATATAGCTATATATGTTTTAAGCTATATATGATATATGTTTATTCTTGTTTCCTGGGGGAAAACAGGTGCATTTAAGTGCATTTTACTTAAAACAAGTAGAATTATCCACCATGGGGTAAGAAAAATAATTTTAATGCAAACGTAAACAAGGTCCCCCCCCCCAGGCAAACACCAGACACCGTGACAAAAATAGCATGTCCTTTTATACTGTAGATGAGGAGGCTGTATTAATTCGTAGGGAGTTACTTTTTTGTGCTATATCCACATGCATATTTATTTGGTAGTTTTCTATATCGGGGATGCAGAGCACATTAGTAAGGCAGTATGCAGAGCGGTAACGAAGGTGTACCTCACTGACGTTCACTTGATAACATCTTGTGGTGACCTCTGGAAGTAACCCAATAATTAGAATTTCCTTTAGAATTTCCAGTGTGCTTGGATGCATTGATGACACACATATTCCATCATCGCACCTTCCGAAAATGAAATAGATATGGAATGGAAGGATGCCATATGGAAGTGTAGTTCGAGATATATGCTGTAACCACCACCACAGCTGTTACATAAACACAAATTATGCACAATTTATTTGGTCATCTTTATTTCCTACTAATACAAAAGCAAGAGTTATTCTTTTTTCTGTTGGATTTTAGTATTCTTCCAATACTTGGTATTATGGCCATCTCCTCTTCATCTGTTCTTCATTATTTGCGAGCCTTCTTGCTGTTGACTGAGTTGAAGTCAAATGTTAATTTCATTACTCTAATTAAGAAATGTAACAGGTTGGATTAGAGAATCTTTAATTATGTGAAAAGATTAGACTACGTGAAAATATTAGAGTATGTGGAAAAAAAGCTGCTGCACATTGAAATAGACACTGAATGTATATTAGTATACACATTTATATACATTAATATATAAAATGTTTGTAAAGTCATGTAGCCTACACCCATGAAGTTCAAGTTCAAGTTCAGTTTTATTTCTAGAGCACATTTAAGCACGAAACAAGGTCAAAAGTGCACAACATACAATAATATATAACAAGGAGAAAATCAGTAAACAAATAAAAACAATTCAAATCAACAAAAGCAGATTAAAACAATTCAAAGGCACATATTACTACATGTTAAAAGCCAGAGAGAAAAGATGTGTTTTAAGATATGACTTGAACTCAGATAAAGTGGAAGCCATTCTGATGTGAACTGGTAAGTTGTCATGGTTGACATGGCTGCAGAAAAATTCCCTTAGTAGTGATGGGCAAACTGAAGGACACACTGGATCGGCTGTTGCAAGCAGACGTTTTTGTGCCAGTCACCCAGCCCACTCCATGGGTTAACAGCCTTGTTGTTACTGAAAAAAGAATGGGTCATTACGAGTATGCCTGGATCCTCGTGACCTAAATGAAGCTGTTCTTCGCCAACACTCCTCTATCCCAACCAAGGATGTACTGTGTAAGCTTGCAGGAAAGAATTTTCTCCATTTGTGATGAAAAGGATGGCTATTGGCAAGCCAAACTTGACGCAGACTCCTCCCTGCTATGCTCATTCAACACACCTTGGGGTAGATACAGATTAAAACGTCTGGCACTTGGTGT